GTGGGATGGAATTAGGTGAAAGCGTTTGTTGTTATTTTCAACTACCAATGTGGAAATGAAAAGGTTCCAGTGCTTTATTTCCTCTCTCTATCTCTCTCTTCGACTACCGAATAAAACTGTTAATGTATTATCAAACATATATTTGGTTAAATATATATGAAAATTTTATCAATTTAATAAACGACAACAAATTAATCAAACATATCTTTGGTTAAATTTTATTTATTTATAAACCAAATACAAAAAAATATTTTTTAGTATTAAATGAAGTATCGCTTCGAACTTTATCAATAATAAATGAATAATAACCAAATATTAATTAATTTTTCAATTCACTTTTACTCTAAACTGAATTTATAGCAGAATAGTACAATTATTTATAGCATAATACTTAATTTTGTTAACATAATCAATATTTGAGAATATAATTTAAAAACCGTGCTTTGCACGGGTCTAAATACTAGTTGTATCTAAAAAGAGAACATACATGCTAGACCAAGGAGAAATATTAAACTTTAATAGATTGTGTTAATCTTGTTGATTATTAGTAGAAACATGAAGTGGTCATACTCTGAGAATGTAAATAAGCGCACCGTGTTTCTATGTTTGCTTTCTCTTTGTTTTCATTTTTCAATCTTTCGTCAACTTGTACTATTATTTCACTGTGTTTTGCAGTTTGAGTGCAAATTCTATCAGAAAAAAATTCAATCAAACTTTTTACCGGATCAAATTGGGTATGGTTGGATCCAGTCAAATCTCATCAAATCGAGCCTTTATGATTCTAATTCAATTATTTCCTTTTCTTACCCAATCTCTTATGATCACATTCTTTATTAATGAGCAGCATAGTCCGATTGAAACATGTTGGCCGCTTATCGTTGTCGTTATGTCGTTTTTATTTTTTTATTTTTTATTTTTTTGAAAGTAGTAGTTCTTGTTGTTGTTTGATAGTCGTAAATAGGACTGTCCATCCGGGCCGGCCCGGCCCGGCCCGGCCCGGAAAACCGGGCCCGGGCCGGGCAAAACCCAAGC